GTAAGACCAGGCAATGTGCCTTCACAGAGCTGGTCACTCGTGGTGGTGGGAAAACACGTTTCCCACTCTTTTGTCCTGGCCAAAGGCAATATGGTGAAGGCTGATTAGTGTTGTCATATTAGTAATAATGAGAGCTTTGTTTGGGAACTGGACAGAATGATATGTCTTTTTGGTCTAAGTAGCCGGTGTTCGTGCTTCCATTGCTTAGAATTGTCCTGACTGGTCAGAACCTCAGCTGGTATAAATTGGCCTATGTCCATTGAAGTCAACTTAAGCCAAGATCTGGCCCAGTATAATTCCATGTATATTATTTAGAGAGGTCACTGCCAAATGGAAAGAACAAATTGATACTTCAGGAGGAGACAGAGAAAAGCAGCAGAGCAGAAGACAGCCTGAGGAGGAGCAGGGGGTTAATGAGGGGGTTGCAGTGGGACATGGTGGGGCAGGACTGGAGGTACATGACGGGGTAATAGGGAGGCTGAGTGGGTGCAGCGGGCTATCTGGGGTACAGGAGGGAGGCTGGGTGGGTGCAGCGGGCTATCGGGGGGTACGGGAGGGAGGCTGAGTGGGTGCAACTGGCTATCGGGGGGTACGGGAGGGAGGCTGAGTGGGTGCAGCGGGCTATCGGGGGGTACGGGAGAGAGGCTGAGTGGGTGCAGCGGGCTATCGGGGGGTACGGGAGGGAGGCTGAGTGGGTGCAGCGGGCTATCGGGGGGTACGGGAGGGAGGCTGAGTGGGTGCAGTGGGCTATCGGGGGGTACGGGAGTCTGACAGAAGAAGGGCACATAACCAGGGGGTGCCAGGGAATGGGGGGGGCAGTGGGAACTGTCAGGTATTAGTCTATGGGAATGTAGGAGGTGGGGCCGGGGCTAGGAGACTGGAAGCATGTGGAGGGGGAATGTGAGTAGGGGAAGAGAGTAGGTGTGTGGGGTTGGAGACAAGGAGAAAGGTTAATGATAAGGGAACAGGATGGATGCAGGGGGAGGGGATAGAATGGCAGCCTCCCCCCGCCTCCCCCCATGGCAGGTGTTACAAGCAGGTAAGGAGAGTTTATACTCAAGCAGCCGACAGAGAGACCTGCGTTTGTGCATTTCAGGTTTTAAAAACTACCTGACAGTATTATTTATTAAATTCTCGTGGTTTGCTCATGGTTTTTGAACACTTGGGGTTGACAATAGTGTTTGAGCCGGCCGATCGGCTGAAATGAAATGTGTGCAAGATAAAATCAGAGAGATGGACGGGGGGTGACCTTTTTTTGAAAACTTATCAGTGTAAAATGCTGTGGTTTTCCCGTCAGCTGAGATGAGCATGGGACAAAAACCCAAAAGGATCTGCTGCTGTTTGAACGGCCTGCCATCTATATTGGGTGTGTTCCAGCCACTCGGTTCTCTCTCTGTTTCCCATAGCAACGGAAATAACAAACTTTGCCATTACAGAAGATTTGCCTTTTATTTATGCTCTGTGTTAATCACAGTCTTGCAGGTACAGCTGCTGGGTTTAGCTTTCCCACAGTGTCCCCTACTGCTTGCTTGAAACATCCATTTGGATACATGTGTATAAAAGTCTTTTTATGGAACAATAAAGCTGATAAAACCACGGGTAGGTGAAATGCTCTTTATGGAGATGTGCTGGATACCCATATTAAATACACACGCTTCATTATTTCAGAGAAGGAGATAAATAGAGAGGGTCAAATTCTGCCGCTTGCAGTGAGTGGGTGCAACCCCCTTGAAATCAGTGAGCCAAATTCAGAGATCATTTAAATAAGGAGGTCAATTGTACACGGGTCAGCAAATGGGTATAAATGAAAGAGAATAAGAGGTGACATGGAAGAGGTGTGCAAAATGAGCGTGTCAGAGAAGGTACATCAGGCTCCTGTTTTCCCTCTCGCCTAATACCAGAGTAAGGCAACAGCCAATTACCCAACACATTTAAAAACGATAAAAGGATTTTTTTTTTCACATGGCACACCATTAGCCTGTGGAACTCACTGCTACCAGATATGATTGAAGCCGTGATTTTTAGGAGCTGAGAAAGAATTTGATATTTATAGAAATAGTAACATCTCCAGCTATACAAGACAGCATGTGATATGTAATAGATGGAAACCTTCATGATTCCAGGCATAATCCAATCACTAGCTGATGGGGGTTAGGAAGAAACTTGCCCATGGGTAGGTTATTCCATAATTGCTGTTTCAAGGATTTTTCCACTTTCTTCTGAAGTATCTGGCTCGAGATGCTGTCGGAGACAGGCTGAACCACCCGGGCCAGATCAGTCTGGTGATTCCTGCAGTATGTCCCTACGTGACAACCTCTTGAGTAGTTGCTTTTCCTGCTCTGTGCCCTCTCCCTACCACTTTGGTGCATACGTCGCATTCAGTTTGCACACCCACTGAGAGGCAAACGGAGTCCAACCATGGTAGTGGGAAGGGGCACAAAGCAGGTGAAGCAACTAACTGGAAGATTAAAGACGAAGCTTCCAACACAAGCTCTCTACCATGCTCTGTACCATCCCCTCTGCTCCCAGAGGAAATGCAGCAATCCCGGGCACAGACTGGGGGGCAAGTCACAGAATAGGCCAGATTCTGTTTCTACTCGTAATCTGGTGCAATTTCCTTGAATCCAGCGCTACCTCTGCTATCACGGCAGTGTGCTTTAGAGCAGAGTTGCGTCCATTGACTTCACTGCAGCTCCTTACATCAGGGCTGAAATTGGTCCCCGAGTGTTTTTCCACTAGGTCACCCCTTCCGATCCAGCTCAGTAGCAGCTGAAAGCCATCGACAGCTGAAGTCTGTTTGGTAGCCAGTGTGTGATGAGTTGATGGGTCTCGTGCCGGTTCCTGATGGACCTCAGAGAAGCCTCCACAATGATGAGCACCGTCGTTGCTGATATCTCGCTAATGAGACTGAACCACCTCACCTTGGGGCTAGGTCTCGCCAGGGCAGTGCTGCTGTTCCCTGTTGGGACCCTAGGAAGGGTTTGAAGGGGCGGGGGGTACTGTATAGGTGCAGCCCCACTCTCTGTGCTGTACCTGATCTGTGGTTGCATAGAAGGCTTTGTTCCCCGGGTCTGTAAAGCTGGCGTTTTCAGTATGCAATGACACTTCCCCTAGGTGCATGACTAGGCTAATGAAATCTGGGCTCTTCTTACTCGAAGGACACAAGGAGAAATCACAAGGGCATTCCAGGCTGAGTAAAACCTCCTGCGTTTGTCCTCTGTTTTGTGAGTAATGTCTGGAGCAGGAAGTCCTGAGTGCATCATTGTTACTGCAGAGAGCCAACGGGATCTCTACTAACACAGGAGCACAACTGGAACTTGCTGCCTTTCCAAAGAATGTGTTATCCATTGGCTAGGGCATCAGGTTGGGAGTCAGGAGATCCAGGTGTTATCTTGGCTCTGTCACTGACTCCTGGATGACATGGGCAAGTCACTGCCTGTCTCTGCCTCAGTTTTCCTATATGCGAAATGGGAATGATGATGCTTCCCCACCCACCCCCTTTATAAAGCAATTTAAGATCTTCATCTAAGTGATGGTTGAGTGCTAAGTATTATATGACCGTCTCTCATAATAAAAGCAGGGATGGGCAAAGAGGAGGCAGGCATGTTACTGCTTGGACTCTGAAATCCATACCTACTTACGGATCTGTTGTCTGGTTGTCTGTTGGTAGCTTTGGTGTGACTGTAGAGCCAGTACATTCAACGAGAAGGCAGGTGCTTTTGTCACCATCAAAAACTAGGATTTTGTAAGTCTGATATCTTTGCATTTTCCCTGCATTTTCCTGACACTGCTGCATGCTTTTGTGCTATGAAAGGGCAACTGTAACCCTTTTAGGTATGACACCACCATTTCAGTGTCACTTAACTCTGAATCTAGTTCATGTGCGTGTGGATCTTCTTGCCCCTGTAGTTTTAAATGAGACAGGATGTTCTCTCTTTTCTATATGCAAAATTTTCTTAAGGTGTTTTCTGCTTACTGCCGACATAGAGGAAGTATTCAATATAAATTTCCCTTGGAGAGATTGCGTAGCCCCATCTAGATGCGCTGAATTTGTTTAAACATGCTGTGTGAAGCTGTCCAATGTTTACCCCACACACATGTTTGAAATTACAGCTGGCACTAGAGATTATATATGATGTGCCAAGCACACATCCTCTCCTTCAAAACTCACTTCTCGTGCAAAGGCCACAAATTCTAAACCACCGTGTTAAAGATGGGAGAAAAGGGAGAGAGATAAAACCACTCTTCAGAATGAACCTTCTTCTCGAGTCTCTGAGGGCAGTGGATGCTGTCTTCTTATTTATATTCTACAATCCTCATATAGCTTGTGTCCTGTAATGCAACGCGGTTGTGCAACAGTGTCAGGTGTTGGCTTCGTAGCTATCCGTGGCACAGACATACAAAATGTTAAAGGAGAGTGCTGCGCTATCAGAGATGCACCCTTCAGACAAAAAGTTCAAATAAGCCCCCTGTCTAGCAAGGCTGCCCCGGTGGCATTTCAGAATCCAGGGTTTCAGAAAGAGGATGGGGCTAAGCCCCAGTGTTCCAGCCAATATTCCCTTCTGTCACACAGGTTCTAGTGTCCAAGACTATGTATAGGCTATTATGCATTTAACTACATACTTCTTAGGGTGCCTTTTTTGCTTTTAAGTCCCTTGAGCACAATAGGAGACCACAATGATTCATGCTGTTACTTGTGGCAGCCAATAAGGTGCTACAGGTCTTCACAAAGCAGCAGTACCATGCGGGGCCCGTAGAGCAACATGCAAGGAGTCACTTCTAGGTGAGGTGAGTTTAGTGCAAGGCTTACTGGTTTAGCTCAGAAGAAAGCTCCGCTTTTGACAAACCAGGCAGATCTGCTGAGTACAAACTCTGAAGGTTTCCAGCTTGCCACAGCAAGTCCAGCCACTGGTGAGATTCCTTAATATCTATTCTCTGTCCAACAGTCTAACACTTTTGCTTTGTTTTTCTCTCCTCCCCACATACTCCTCTTCCGCCAGACCTACGAACAGAATGAATGGATAATCCACTTGGCTGGAAAGCTGCTGGTCAGTGAAGAGGCGGCATTGTCACTGATAGCGTTCAATCCATTTGAGGGCAAGGCACCACCAAGGTAAGCTGTTTCTATAAAGGTGACAGGTGTATCCAGACTCCATCTACAATATGCTTCTTTATAGCTCGGAGGTGTAAACATTGTTTCTTTTTAGTGTGCATTTTATTTCATGGGACACTGGTACCCCTTCAGTAGAGCAGTGCCTGCTGAAAAATTTACACTCCTTTTAACACCTTTAAACACAAATGTAAACACCTTTACCTCCTTCCTACTGCTCCTTGGGCTGACTTACAGTAAGCCAGCCGTCCTTAGGTAGAGAGAGTTCCCAGGCACTTGCATCAAGGGACAAGCATCGCTTCCCTGGCACAGAAATCTTGGCTGTTGGTGCAGCCTATGAGCTTTACAACATTCCGCCAGCATCGCTTTGCGTGGTCAAAGCAAGAATACCATTTCCGGTGGCCGTTGAAATAATAGAGTGATTGATGATTTATTTTCCTGCAGAAATATTTGTTTTTGTTGGAATTTTGGGGTTTCATTGAAAAAAACGAACACCAGCAGCCAAAACCTGAAAAATTGCTACAAAAGGCACATTTTTCAAAAACATTTCTTAGAAAATATTCAGCCAATTTTTTTTTAATCAGCTTTAATAACAATATTTGGCCCTTCACTCATACTCTGATGCTGTCAAAGTGCATTAAACAGATTCACAGCACCTACGTGAACTAAACGTTCTTGTGAAGGAGATCTCGTGCTTTTCAGGTCTAACACCGAGAACCCCAAATTATCTGAGAAGGGACTTAGCACTTCCTAAGACTATCCATCAGAATACCAAACTCTGTTCTTCTATTACCTATATATATATGGTTATATATAATACACCTCTACCCCGATATAACGCGACCCGATATAACACGAATTCGGGTATAACGCGGTAAAGCAGCGCTCCGGGGGGCGGGGCTGCGCGCTCCGGCGGATCAAAGCAAGTTCGATATAACGCGGTTTCACCTATGACGCGGTAAGATTTTTTGGCTCCCGAGGACAGCGTTATATCGGGGTAGAGGGGGGTGTGTGTGTGTGTATATAATATATTAGGGCTGTCAAGCGATTTTACTTAAGTGCAATTCCCACCAACATAAACCAGAGCTTCCTAATATCAGGGAGTCTTCTGTTTTCCTAAAATCCTTCAGACACCTTGCTCTGCTGATCTGATTCATCCACATGATGCTTAGATACTGCATGGACAGGTGCTATAGAAGATTTTCAGGTAGCTTGACCAAATTCAGATTTGATTTTACCAAATTATCTACTCACCTAGCAGAACCCAGAACATGGATTCAACTTTAGTGTGGGCACGTTACCCTCCAGCCATTACAATCCAAAACTTTACATGAAAGACAGTCATGGTTTGGAAATACACATTTATTCTCTTCGAAGCCTCTGACCTTCCCTTCCCACTAGCAATGCGAAGCAAACTGAGAAACAGTGCCCTACTGTTGAGAACAGGCTCCTACGATACATAGTGCATGGAGTGCATGGATATTACCCATAGCCAGGAGACTCTGAAACCTAACAGAGTTCCCATAAATTCCAGTTTATTGTCCGAGGCGTATTATTGGGTAATATCACAGTTTGTTCGGTTACACAATCAATAGATCTGTTACACCAAAATAATTACATGTTGGATGTAATCCAAGGGGGTTCTTGGGGAGCTTCCGTTAATTCTTCCAGCAAAAGGCACACTGGGATATATCAGGGCGTCCCTTGCCGCTGAATGATACAATTTTAATAATGTTTACCGAAGGTTTCTCAGCTCTGATTAGCCCTGCCTGAATTAGCTTTACAATTGAGGAACAGATCACTTATGTCGCCTGCCCAACTAGTCTCCCTGGGCCCTATTAAAAGGAACGGGGAGTAGAATGTGAAGCCTGTTCTCTGGTGTAATTTGGTTACCCCGTTACTCCTTGGCTTTTTGTGAACTTTCACTCTGATCTACTAGATGTTCCCTGAGCAAAACAGGACTGCGCCACTGGGCTCGATATCTATTTGGGCAGCTTCTTATGCTAATTAATAGCACAGAGCACGTTGCTAACTGTCTAATGTGGGAGGGGTGAAACTCACCCTGGTGCAGAGGGCTCTCTCACAGTTCTGTATGTCCTCTCTATGGTACAGCAAAGGCACCCGTTCTAGGCGCCTAGATCCTCAGCCGTCACCTCGCTTGGACAGAGACCTGCGTGTCTCACTCCCTCGTGACTGGAGTTTTTCCAGGCTACACAGTTCCCTGCCCTACACTATGCTATTGCCAGCAAGCCAGACTGCCTAACTGGGCCAGCGCCTGCGCATTGCTTACTCTTTGAAGGCTGTGAACAGTGCATTGCCAGCAGTTACAAGTTACCACATGGCTCTTTCTAACACACATCTGTTATTAAGGGGAAAGCATTACAGAGAAAACCTATTAAAAACAAGAAAAGAACCTAAACACATGCTAATAAGCTTACCAGAGATCACCCCACCCACCCTCAGCTCCAGTGGGGGCTCTGGCAGGAGTCAGTCCTTCAAACCCCACCAAGGGGTTTTCTGTGGTTCCCAGTTGATGACAGCCTCAGCTCAGAATAAGCTGAGCACATCAGCCTGGTTCAATATATCGCTTGGGCCTTGGATCTCCAGCCTTCCGGAACAGGCAATCAGCCGACAGCGGGTCCCTCCTCAGGGCGTAGCTTCGAAAGGGTGGCGGTTTGCATACCTGGCGAAGGGCATTTGCATTCAACTCTCTCTAGATATTTCCCAGCAATTCCACTTTGCATGTATTGTCCCAGAACACCATTCCTGTCTGCCACATGGTTCAGTGTTGTCTTGTGATCATCCAGGCCCCCAATAATCCATAACCTTTGGACTCCAAAGATACTTACCCATCATTCAACAAGGGTTTTTCAAGGGGATTGGCGGAAATTGCCCTACCCATCAAAGACACCCCACACACTACCACCATTGAGTCCTGTATCTGGGCTGCACAGGGCACTGAGGCTAGCGGGCCTCGCAAGGATACCTCCGCAGAGGCCACGGAGGATGGGCCTGAATTCATGTTAATGCACAATTGGCAAGAATGAGATGGGATAACAGCCACCAGAGGTCTGGGCAGCAGCCCAGCTCACCAGGCCCGGTTTATGCAGGTGGATTTCTATCCCTGATCTCAGCAGACTCCATTTGCGGAGAGTCTGAATGTTTGGGCTTTAACCGTGTGGAGTTAACCCTTTGGGTACATCTACACTGGGATAAAAAAACCCACGGCACCGAGGCTCAGAGCTGACTGAGAGGGGTCAGCTGACTGAAGCTTGCAGGGTTATAACATCACAGTGTCAACATTTGGGACGCTCCCGCCCCCGCCTGGCTTCAAAGCCCAGGCTCCAGCCGGTGCCAGAACAGCTGCACTGCAATGGTACAGCCCCACGAGCCCAGGTCAGCTGACCTGTGCCCGCCACAACCATGCCCCAGGGCTTTCTTTGCAGTGTAGACATACCCTTCGCGTTCTCCAGCATGGTTCCTTTTCTAAAAAGTCCTGAAGGCCGGCTGCCTCGGGAGGTTGCTAACAGAATCCGGAGCCGTTAGACACCGGCTTGAATCAGGCGCCCCTGTTGGCAGCAAGCAAAAGTTGTTACCGTCTGACAGCTGTGGGCAATAAACAGCTTTTGCAGTTGATTAAACAGCCAAAGTGTTTGATAATCCCAAAAGCTGTTTATTGCCAGGATACCCCCAGTGCCATAAACATTGTTCCTATTATACACCAAAAACTCCTCTAACAACAAGCAGTAACAACTTAAAAATCAAGGAGAAATACATGTTGTTTCTTGCCTTGTTGCATGTTCATAAAAGACACGCTGTAACTGAGTGCAGGGTGATTTTAGAAGCAAGAGAATAACTGAGATGTGGTTGGGTTAATATTAAGTTTTTCCAGGCTGTGATCAGTTACTGTGTTCTGCAGAAGGTAAGAAAATAAAAGATTTATGTATTAAAAAAAACCAAACCATTATCAACGTTAGCATCTCTCTTACTTTGTAAACTCTTCTGTGATGGTCAGTACATATTATATGTAAGGGTGCATCCTAGGTTGGATATTAGGATGCAGATGGTTTTGTATCACCAATGGGTCCTGAATGTGATTTTATAACTGCTTTGATGCCATGTGTTGAATAGATGGTCCTCTATATCTTGTAGAACACAGTCTTGAATCATCACTGAGCGACACCAGTTTTATACCACTGTAGTCTCCGTTTTCACTTTTCCCCAGTATAAACAGCTATTTGACCATGTGATTTTTAACTGTACTCTGAGGGTCCCAATACACTCCTGGGTGATGTAAAATAATAAATAATAATAATTCAAAGTCTCATTTTGGTCCAAATCCAAAGCCATAATCTGGATCCAGATCCAAATTTGCGGCTTTAACCTCTCTTTAATGATCCAAAATAGAACACTGAAATTTGCCAATGTTTGGGTTTGGATCTGGATTTCCCGAAATTCAGGAGTGTTTGGATTGTGATTTTGGTTCCTTCCATTTTGAGGATAAAAAGATTCATAGATTCTCAGGCCAGAAGGGACCATTATGGTCATCTAGTCTGACCTCCTGTATAACTCAGGCCAGAGAACTGCCCCCAAATAATTCCTAGAGCAGAGCTTTCAGAAAAACATCCAATCCAATCCACCACGAGCCTTGGTAAATTGTTCCCATGGTTATTTACTTTCACCATTAAAAAATGTACACCTTATTTCCAGCCTGAATTTGTCTAGCTTCAACTTCTAGCCATTGGTTCGTGTTTATGCCTTTCTCTGCTACATCGAAGAGCCCATTGTTAAATATTTGTTCCCCATGTAGATACGTATAGACTGTGATCAAGTCACCCCTTAACCTCCTCGTTGTTAAACTAAATAGATGGAGCTCCTTGAGTCTATCACTGTAAGGCATGTGATAGATACCGGAGGGAAGTGGGGAAGCGGGATACCAGGAGGAAACACAAGGAGGAGGGTGCAACAGGGGAGGCAGGGCAATTGGCTAGTTATCTTAGGTG